AGCTCCTACACACGTTGAAACGTGTGATAGGCCTGCGCATGTTCGACCTGTTGGCCCTCGAAGGGTTGGAGCCCTGAAGAGGAAGAAGACCGCCCATAAGCCCCATGACGGTCAGCATCCCTATGGAGTAGACCTAGGAAGCACCGCCGATGGAGGAGAAGGTAACATTTCATTGTTTTAAGGTGATTCACCTTTTGGGATTTGTAACCATGTTTTATGCTTCAGGGTTCTTCGAAGAGGGCGAAATCCCACCGGGTCCAGTGTCTCCTGGACCTGATAACATGGATTGCTTTGTGCGACAGATGTGCGACGCCCTTCATGACGGGTCTTTGGGCATCGATCTAAACATCGATCTGCGACAGATGTGCGATGCCCTTCATGACGGGTCTCTGGGCATCGATCTGAACATTGACCTCGAACAGATGAATAATGTCGAGCCCACAGTCCCTTATTCAGGTATATCCACATTCAATGTCATTTTCCTCAAGCATGGGGAAGGAAGATTTCCCGTTTTTGCTGAAAGTATCTTCTCGAGCTTTCCTCATCTTTCAACATTCAGGTTACCCTGCAGATGTTGTGATGGAGGGGCCAAGCTCCTCGAAGCCGGATGCCAAGATACCGACCAAGCAGAACTTGATACAGGTTTGTCATGCTCTTTGATCCTCTTTCTCGACTTCAATTGGTATTGGCGAAAGATCTGGTTCATGAGATGATTCTTGTTGTTTCAGGTGGGGTAGCCGACGACCATGGGTCGCTCGCTTCCCGTCGTGCGAAATCCAAGTTTGGTGGCCAAACTTCGCATGACCGCCCCGTTGGTTCTATGAGGGGTGATCCTTCGAAAAGGAAAAAGATTGCCCATAAACCTCATGTTGATCAGCGCTCCCATGGGGTAGATTCAGGAGGCTTTGCCGACGGGGAGGAAGGTAACATTTTGTTGTACCCACTTTTATTGCTTTAAGATGATTTACCTTCCGGGATCCCTGATCCTGTTTCATAATTCAGGGTTCTTCGAGGAGGGCGAGCTTCCACCAGGTCCGGTATTCTCTGGGGCTGACAACATGGACTGCTTCATGCAGCAGGTGTGCGACGCCCTTCGTGATGGCTCCCTGGGCATTGATCTGAACATCGATCTTGGGCAGGCAGATGGTGTTGATCCCACCGGTTCATTTTCAGATATACCTACATCCGGTGCTGCAGGTGTTGCGACAGAAGGGCCAGACGGGGATGGGGCCTCCCCTATTGCAGATTTCGAAGAGCAGGGATATGTTCCTGCACCGGTCTTCCCGAGACCTGACTCTGGACTGTTAGCCGATATGTTAGCTGAACAAGCTCCCACCGGGACTGTGAGACCACTCTTTGAGAGTGATTCATCCACAGGTATATATCCAATTTCCTCTCTTCTTTGCTTGTCTCAGTCTCCATTTTGACTAATAAAGAAGTGCAACTATATGACCAGGCGCTGTACCTGATTCTGCTATAGCTTCGGGTGTTTTCCCGCCTTCGCCTAATACGACTGACTTGCCCACGAGGGTTGATATACCTTCCATGAGCATTCCTGTCGTTACTTCGGAGCCTGTCGAACCCCAACCCGAGGGGATTTCCGCCGGTATAGGTATACCTCGAATTTCCCTTAGGGTCTTTTCGATTGTATTTAATAGTTTCTTGACCTCCCATACTGCTGCTTGCAGGTTCTCGACCGTCTCTATATGAGCAGGTCCATGCTCTCTTGGCCGATACCAATCCAGATGGGGATGTCTTCCGCACTGACCTCGGCTTCTTTACTGCCTTTTATAACGGCGTGATTGATAAGCTTCTGCACAGAGGGTCTTCTTTTGATCAGTTCAGGCGTTCCTTCTCCCGTCACATGATGATGATGAGGGAAGAGGGATATCCGGATTTGGCCGATTCCTTTACAGCTGATTTCGCTGCCCTGGAGTCAGAGATTCGAGAGCTGAGGGAGTTGAAGGCTGGTGGAGCTCCCTCTTTTGCATCTTCTCAGGTGGAGGATAGGTTGACGCAGTGGCATGAACTGCGATCTTCCGTTGGCAGCGAGCTTCGATCACGTGAGCGCACTGTCGAGCAGCTGATGGCCTCTCTGGCGAGGAAAGACACCAGCAGAGCTGAGTTAGTGAGCTCCTTAGATTCCACTCGTGCAGAGATAGCTAGACTGAAGGAGGCCTTGGAACGCGCCGAAGAATCTGCCGCTACCATTTCTGAGGAACTGGTTGGGTTGGAGCGTTCTCGTGAATGGACACTCGACAGGCTGGGATCAGTGCAGGAGGGGTTGATGAAGCTACGACACGAAGCCGCAGAGGTTCTCAACAGTTCCGAAGATTCTGTCCGAGCTAGCCTGCAGGCGGAGTTCGAGCAGGACTATATGGACAGGCTCTCTGGTTTAGAGTCTCATATTCTTAGCCGTCGGTTGCCTTCGGACTAACGAGCTTTTGTTGTATGCTTTTGACTTGATTTATTAATAGAAAATCCGCATTTGCTTCTTTTGTGTTTTCTCTGTATCTCTTCCGAATGACAGATTTATGGGATTTTTGGCAAACCCCCAGCCATCAACGGGTTTGATGTGCCTTTACCGATTACCGTTTGAATCGGGCTAGCATGCGGATTGTCGAAATCCGTTCCGCATGTAACGTTGTGCTGAGAGAGTAAACTCTCTGAGGCTTTGTGCTATGATCTTGAATACATAGGCTTCGTCTTTCTCACGGGAATAGACTACCCGGCAACGCGTGTTAGGCGTTGACTTTGGGGTTTTTGGCAAACCCCCAGCCTTCAACGGGTTTGATACGCCTTTACCGATTACCGTTTGAATCGGGCTAGCATGCGGATTGTCGAAATCCGTTCCGCATGTAACGTTGTGCTAAAGGAATGAACTCCCTTAGACTTAATGCTACGACTTCGAATACGTAGACTTTGCCCTTGTCACGGGAATAGGCTACCCGGCAACACGTGTTAGGTGTTGACTTATCCCTACTTAGGATTCGGGATAAAATTCCCCATGCACCAAGTGCGCGGATTGGAAGTTGAAAGTTGTGTCAAAATAGGAGAGGAAGAATTTTATATTCTATCTCCCGGTGCTAAAGAGGAAGAATTTTATATTCTATCTTCAGCTGGAAAAGAAACTCGAGGTGGGATTCTCCACCCCCAGTATCTGGAAGGATGAACTGGGAATGGGATCTCCACTCCGAGCACCCGGAATGATGAACTGGGAGTGGGGTCTCCACTCCGAGCATCGGAAAGGTCCGAGGAGAGGAAGAATTTTATATTCTATCTCCCGGTGCTAAAGAGGAAGAATTTTATATTCTATCTTCAGCTGGAAAAGAAACTCGAGGTGGGATTCTCCACCCCCAGTATCTGGAAGGATGAACTGGGAATGGGATCTCCACTCCGAGCACCCGGAATGATGAACTGGGAGTGGGGTCTCCACTCCGAGCATCGGAAAGGTCCGAGGAGAGGAAGAATTTTATATTCTATCTCCCGGTGCTAAAGAGGAAGAATTTTATATTCTATCTTCAGCTGGAAAAGAAACTCGAGGTGGGATTCTCCACCCCCAGTATCTGGAAGGATGAACTGGGAGTGGGATCTCCACTCCGAGCATCGGAAAGGTCCGAGGAGAGGAAGAATTTTATATTCTATCTCCCGGTGGAAAAGAAACGAGAGAGGAAGAATTTTATATTCTATCTCCCGTTGCCGAAGAGGAAGAATTTTATATTCTATCTTCAGGCGGAAAGGAAACTCGAGGTGGGATCTCCACCCCCAGAATCCTGCAGGATGAAACTAAGAGTGGGATCTCCACTCCGAGAATCGGAAAAGTTCGAACGACACTACCTTTTATAGGATTGGTCATTTGAACCCAAAGAACCCCTCATTCATTGAGGAGAAGACCCAATTTCAACCCTAACTTTTATAGGTTTGGTGGAAAAAGGGGACAAAGGTGGATTTTCGTTTATCGAAAAGGAGTGACTCGACTTTAGTCTTGACCATGTGTAGGCTTGACTAAGCGAGATCGGAAACAATCCTAACTTTTATAGGTTTGACTGTTTCAAGTGGACCTCTCGTTCATGGAAGGAATCGAGAGGGGATTTTGGCTTTGGTCCTAACTGTAGGAAGGTTTGACCAAACTGGAGTTTGAGATACGCCAATGACTGGCAGATGGAAATGTTGGTGGGTCCACTGTCGTTTGATTTGATCAGTGGATGGTTTGGTGAGGAAAGATTAACCTATCAGAGGATTAGATCTCATCTCACAAAAGGAACTCATAAGAGTTAGAGAATTTTGTCGAGAATAAGAAGAGACATTCTGACCTTCAGAGTTCGAATGTAGAGTTCTTATCCGTCAATTCCACACTGACCGGGTTATCCCTAAGAATACCCATGTGGTATTCTTCCGGGAACTTCCCGATGCATTGGTTATCCAAAAAGATACTAAGGATAGTATCTTTTCAGGAATTTGCCGTTTATCGGCATCATGAGCCGGTCGCCATCTTTGGTGACTAGGCGATAGGCGCCACTCGAGTAGACTGTCTCCACTACGAATGGTCCCTCCCATTTGGGTTCGAATTTACCCTTTTTCTTGGAGTTAAGGATCATAGGCCGTTTCGCAGCTAGAACCAAATCTCCTTCTTTGAAACTCCTTTGTCGAACCTTTTTGTCAAAGGCTCGAGAGATTCTAGCTTGGTAAAACTCAATGTGTTGTTGAGCTTCGAGGCGCTCTTCATCGAGCCTCTCGAGTTCTTCGAGGCGTTTCTGATGTTGTTCTTCGGTCGACATCTGGGTTGAAAGAGCGATCCGAAGAGATGGTATTTGGATCTCCAATGGAAGAACAGCTTCACATCCGTATACCAGTGAATACGGGGTTGCTCCCGTTGGTGTGCGCACTGTGGTCCGATAGGCCCATAGAGCCGCGCCAAGCTTGTCATCCCAGTCTCGTTTATTAGTTTTCATGATTTTTGACAAGAGTTTGATGATAGTCTTGTTGAAGGCTTCAGCTAATCCATTCGCTGTAGGATTATAAGCCGTCGACGAGATGTCCTGAATTTTAAACTTTTCGCAGAACCTTATGAAGGCGTTACTGACAAACTGAGGACCGTTGTCATGTATGATTCGTCTTGGAACACCATACCTATAGATGATGTGGTGCTTGATGAATCCAATGACGTTGCTCGTTTTAACTTCTCTGAGTGGAACTGCTTCGGCCCATTTGGAGAAGTAATCGGTGATTGCCAGGATGAACCGGTCGCCTTTGACTGACGGAGGATTTATAGGACCAACAATGTCCATTCCCCAAGTCTCGAACGGCCATGACGTAACCGAAGGATGCAGATGCTCCGGAGGTTGGTGTACATAATTCCCGTGCACTTGACATGCATCACACTTTCGGGCATATGTAATCGCATCATTCATCATGGAAGGCCAGAAATACCCGATTCTTCTGATGCGGTCATAAAGCTTAGGACCAGGTTGGTGTGCGCCACACTCTCCTTCGTGCGCTTCCCTAAGGACCTCTTCAGCTTCTTTGGTTGATAGGCAACGCAGTAGCAACCCATCGTACCCCCTGCGGTATAGCGTTCGATTCTCAGTATTGTAGTAGAATCTGGGTGCTCTTCGCCGGATTGACTCTCTTTCCTTCACATCTTCTGGCAAGATTCCATGCAAGACGTAGTCGATGATGGGGGGGAAACTCCAATCTCGTGGTTCGAACTCGATTTGAGTAGCGTGTACCTCTTGAACTTCTTCTTCCTCGGCATCTTCACTGTAAAGCGGCACTAGGAGTTGGTGAGTTCTTACCGTAACAAACTGCTCTGTTTCGGGAGGCTGCGCTAGTGACACGGCCAATGCGGCCAACGCATCTGCATAGGTATTCTGTAGCCGTGGAATATGTTCGATGAAGAATCCTTCAAATGATTCCGCTATCTCCACCGCCATCTTATGGTACGGAATGAGATCTTGGCTTCGAACTTCATATTCTCCTTGAACTTGCTTGACTATCAGTTGAGAATCGCCGAAGGCCTCGAGATACTCCACCCCTAGCTCCTTAGTGAAGTTGAGTCCTATGATCAATGCGTTATACTCTGCTACATTATTCGAGCATGGCTCGGTTAGCGAGTAGGCGCGAGACATCACATGTTTTCCTGGGGAAACCAAGACTACTCCAACTCCGGAGGAGACTTTAGAACTTCCAGGAGCACTTGCAACATTAGTTACTCGCGAAGCGCCATCGAAGTATAAGCGCCATATTTGTTGGTGAGAAGTTGCGTTGACTTCGTGGGCCTCATCGGGTAGATCGTCATATACCTCGGCGGTGTCCGTTGTTGGATTGTCTGCCAGGAGATCGCATATGGCCTGTCCTTTGACCGACTTCTGTTGCTTGAAATGCAAGTCGTATTGGGACAAGAGTAAGGCCCATTTCGCTAATCGCCAGCTCATGGAAGCGGGTTGAGTCATGAATACTCGAACCGGATTAACTTTAGAGATGACGTAAATGGTCTGCCCGACCAAATAATGCCGCATCTTCTGAATGGCGAACACCAAGGCGAGGCATTCCCTCTCAATCATAGGATTCCGCGCCCACCATGGTTCGGCTTAAATAATACACCGCCTGCTCGTGACCGTTATCGTCATCTTGTGCAAGCAATGCACTTAATGAATGGCTCGTCGCCTTGACATAAATCAAGAACGGTTTGCCCGATTTCGGTGCAACGAGTACAGGAGGTTTTGAGAGATATTCCTTAATACTCTCGAATGCCTTTTGACAAGCTTCATCCCATACAAATGATACGCCCTTCTTTGCGAGCCTGGAGAATGGTTGGCATTTTCCTGAGAGATTCGAAATGAACCGACGGATATACGCCAATCGTCCTTGCAATCCCCTGAGCTCCCTGAGGTTCCTCAGAGGTTGTAATTCATTGATCGCCTTTACTTTATCAGGATCGATGTGGATACCTTTGGTGGTGACGACGA